ATTAGAGTTTAAAAGACCCAGGAAATAGATGTGACTCTGCCAGAGGCCCAATCCGATATATGTGAATGGGCCCGGAGCCACTGCACTCCTTTTAATTAGTAGACAGACAGTTAAAATGGGACACTTAAGCTTTTTGCCATCCTGATCCTAAAAGGATCAAACTCACATCTTCTACCACCAAGAAAGCACCGCCAGGCAACACCCTCTGCTCTGCTGGTGCAAGCAGGGTAATTCCTTACCTGGCATTAAACAGCCCCCTGAGTGGAGTTTGCTCTCGCTCTCACTCCTCAAGCACAGCTTCAGAACTTGTATATTCATTCAGTCAAAACAAAGTGCCCAACTCAGGGCTGTGAGAAGGCTTCTAGCTCTGGTAGAGACATAGCACATCACATGCCCTCTAAATTTCACGTTCCTACTGGCTAGCAATGGCAATCCCCGAGTTGGCGGCCTGCCTACTGTGAAATCTGTTTCCAGATGCCACGTGCTTCCCGCGCATTGCAGTAGAAACCTGTTAAATAAGGGAATTTCACCTACGGGGATCCTTAGCATCAAAGATCATTATGCTGATTGTCAATATGCCTGATCTCCTCTTTGTATCTTGCTTCCATTTTTAAAAGTCCCTGTAATTTTGAAAATTGACTCAAAAGTCTTACTACAGACTCCACATAGGGGATATAATGAGAGATGATTTTGCAAAAAAATCCCAAGCTTCAAATAGAATAATTACAGAATTTAAGTGCAAGAGGAAGAAACCAAATCCCTAGAAAACTCTCCTGGCCTCCCCCAAGCACATGCAGATCTGCATTCAAATTTGGTAGCCTGGCTCACTTCTTTACTGGCCTCCCATTTCAGTTTTCCTGTTTAAGTTAATTTTGCAAGAAAGGATTTTCCAAGGCAGTTATCAGTGTGGATTCACCATCAGTGCAAGACATTTTCCCCAAAGAGGTTTCTAAATCAATTTTAATTCCAATAGACTCAAGTAAATGTTTTCAATTTGATTCAATAATCCATACACACTTATAAAATGGCTTTTCCCCCATGTACTACAAGTAAACGTGGTTTATGTTTCTAACAACTTTGGCTGATAAAAAATTCTAATTTCCTATCCTGAATTGTAATCACACGTAATGTTTATTCACCTCTCAATGGACCAGATGACATAAACAAATGGAAAAAAAACAAACCCAACCTCTAAGTGCATTATTTGAATCATTAATTCTCTAAATGCTTCTTAAAGAACACATGATTTTTGTCAAACACACACACACAAAAAATATCACCAAAAATATCCTAGAACAGAGCTTTCTAAATCTCCTGAGAATTTTGCATTATTTCCTTTTAGAGAGCAACATAGAACCTCTTCAGGATGTCTCTTAAAATTTGAGCAAGTTCTCCAAAAAGGTAATTACAACACAGTTACTAGTAGATATCAGCCAAGAGTGGCATGAAGATTAGGGCAGGAGGTGCAGGATGGCAGAAATATAATCTCCTCTAATAGTGTCTAGTGTGCTGTGAGCTCATAAGATGGAGTAAGGTGCAGAAATGAGGGCTGTGGAGGTCAGGGTGACACACAGATCCTCAGTTGGTAAGCACCTTCACAGTACGTGAAGCAAAAAGCGATAATCTGGAGAGGAGGGAGGTGCTTGGCTCACCTCCATTTTCATAACTACATCTTCAAGTCAGGAGTTGAAACTCCTACTCTGTGCTGGGAGTATGACCAGGTAGCATTTCTAGAGCCCATCAAATCTAGATCCATCAGATCAATATTGACTGAATAAAAGGCAAAATTAGTACTCGATTTTTAATATTCTATTTTTAAGATTATCCAGGGTGATAATGTTAACATAGAAAATTACAGTTTGATATTATCATGTTAATATTGAACTTACCTACCATACACTAGAGTTTTGCAGCTGCGATTCTACTTAAATACCAGCTTCTGAGAGCATTTTGTATGTAAGTTCTTGTCCTAACTGTAGTAATAATCCTTCAGTGTTGGAACAGAATACTGTCTTACAAACCAGCTCTGATGATAACAGGGAGAGACTGAAAAGTTGACGATGACTAGAAAGCTTATGGCTGTAAAAACATTGCCTACTGAGAAACGTTTTAATAATCTCTTGTAAGAGAATTGCTTTGCATATGAATACAAAGAGAGATAAGTGTTCCCAACACATAAAAGAAATATTTGGTAAAATCTGTAACTTTGCAGGAGCATTCATGCCAGGTTCTCCATCTGCAGCAGAAATCAAACTATTTGTCTGTCACCAAAAATCAGTAATCTATGCAGCAGAGCCTAAAAGCAATTATAAAGCAATTACATTCCTAAAAATCTTAGAAATTAAGCTTTTTATTATTTCAGCACTTCAAATAAGAAACACTATCTTTCTATATCCTTATACAGATATAGAGAGATCTAAAGATTTAGTTGACAGTACACAGAAGACTTATGCTGATATCAGGAAAGAACCCTGTTCAGTGCTTTAACTCCATACTAATCCTTATCCCCTTTCAGTCACCCCAGATCTTCAGCGTGGGATACACCTGTGGGACAATCCTTCCATTAGTAAGTTATTATCAAACTTAACTGCTCTTTCTCAGCGCAGTGACGTGAAATGGAGATGGTAGGAGAACTACCAGAATAGTAGAAAATACAGCAAAAGAGGCCCCTCCTTGCTCTGCATGGAAATGGTTGCATGGCTCTTGCAGAAGTGTAACAAAACCCGATTCACTGGAAATATACTAGAGCTGAAATTTCCGTTTATAAAGCAAAGACTAATTTCTTGGGAATACTCAGTCCCATTGCATAATCAAACTCATTGATTAGTAACACTAGAAACTTCATGTTAGTACTTGCTACCTGTCACTGCTCACAGTTAATGAACTTGGGAAAAAAGAAAAAAAAAATTCCCTGTTTTTCACATGCCCATCATTCACACTATACAGGGGAGGGCTCATTTGTTGAAATATACGCAAATACATACAATTCAATGACAAGTAAATGAGCACACCAAGTTTCCTTTGACTTTCATTACGTGGGATTTGAATAGCAAACACTGTCTAAATTGTATACCTGTATAAAGCATTCACTGTACAGCGAGGCCTTCAGATGGCTGGATGTGATTGGATGCACTCAAACTTGCACATACAGTACAGAACAAGATTAATTCTGGAGATGCACTATTGCTGTACACTGTGCCTTCCAGTTCTTCAGATAGTTGTACATGCTGCAGGGAGCTCTGATCGCTGCCACAGAATGTATTTTATACTTCGTCTCAGCAGCAAAGGTAATTCTCAGAATTTCCATTTGGGGGATAGAATCAGATTTTGTGCAGAGAAGCATTCAGTTATTATGATTTATGAGAATGTTTTTAGAAGTTGGATGCTGAATATTTTATTAACATAAACATCAGGTTCCTAAACAGTTGTTTGCTGTTTTCAAAAGTTTCACCCTCCAGCAGAAAAAATAACATAGGAAACACACATCAAAAAGACGTTATCTGTATTGCAAAGAATTGACACTTTTTAATTTCCTGCCTGCCCAAAAATACTGAGTGATCATACAACCAAACCATCTTTACTTTCTTTACTCGCCTTGATGAACATCTCTCTCAGATTACATTCTCATTTACATCAAAGTTCCCCTATTTTTGCCTTTCCAAACTACAGCTTTTTTATCTTAAATGATTTTTTTTTCCTTGTGAGTTTAGGCCTAGAGTAGTCATAGGGATTCTAAACCATCTTCCCAAACAAATGCTTTAAATTTTTTAATTGCTGTGTCTCTAAAAAATGGTAATATAAAGATTTCTGATACAAAAGCTATAGCAAACACAAGGCCTTAATTACCAGTTTGGTAGAATCACTGCGGTAAAAGGTATAGCTGCCCAGAATTCGAACAAGTTATTTACCAAGTATCTAAGATGAGTAAAATGTGCAACACACAGATATATGAGCAAAGATGAGAATATTTTTTGTCTTAAAAAAATGTAAAAAATCCTCAGAAGTAAATGGCTAAATTACACACCCACAAAAACAAACAGAATGACAAACTGCAAAGCTCACATGAAAGTTCAAATCTTGCTGCCTCAAGTATTAAAACTATTAAGTATGATTTTTTTCTTTTTGTTTTGCTTTATTTGAGCAATTCATATTAAATTTATTTTCAATCTCGATTTCATTAACTGTATAGGTTCAAAAAAAAAAAAAAATCAAAACCACGGCTACGCAGAAGAACACGAATTGCCACTAGAATTCAAGGTCTTGGCCTGCAAGTTCATCAGTACTTAAAAACATAAGCAATAAAAATACTAATAAAAATCTAAGGATAAAAATCCCTACTAAAAATCTTTCAATACTTCTACTCATGAGCACCAATTCATATAGTCCCATTCCTCATGCTTATCAGTCCAAAGAACTGCCCTACAATCTGACGCAAAATTGTAAATACAAATATTAACTTATCCAACCATGCATTTATCCATAGCTTCTCCTTAATTTTGAGTTTTCCTCATATTTGTTTATATTTCCTTTACCAGATTACAATTAAAACTCTCCATAGATTGCTACTGAGTTCTCTGTAACTTCACAAAGTGTCAAAGATGCAACCTCCAGTAACAGAAAGTACATTTAAACTCTGGTTAGTTCAAAACAAAGTAGAAACAAAACCTTCAGAAGAAAATTTATTATCAACAGAGAAAAAAGTTATCTTTTGCTAAGAGTAATTTTTAAAATTGTATTTCCATTTATGAAACAACTGCAATATAGAGTAAAAATTAATGAGCTGTAATACATAAGTTCTTTCTTACATTTTAAATCTATTTCAATTTTTTTTTTAATGTCAGAGAATCAAATCCCATGTTCCCATACCAGACTTCCACGGGGCTTAACAAATTTTACTTTCACTGAGTGCACAGATAACAGAAGAATCGCAGATGCATAAAAGGTGGTTGATGTAGGAGCTGATTAAAGTACAAAATACATAAAGAGAAATGAGTCACTACCTTTCTTTTTGGAGTCTTTCTTTGTGCTGGTTTTCACAGCCACTTGAAGTTCTGTCTCAGTTGACATCCTATATCCTTAGTCCTCTTCACACAGATCCAGGATCTCGGTCAGGCTCATTTAGAACGTCTCTTCAAGAGAATAATTTAGCCTTTCAGATACTATAACCCAAACAGTTCATCTCATTGACTCCTTTTGAGTGCTGTTAAAGAAGGAAACAAAAAGTAACAGTCATTTTCTGAGTTTAAAACATAAAAAAAAAAAAAGCCATTGCAAGCTTACTGAGGAAGAAACCTATGCAGTTCTCTGTCTAGAGTCAATTGCCCACAATCTTAGATGCTTAAACACAGTCATCTAGTCCCGTTTGAGATGTTTTGGCATATCTAAGATGTCTTCACAGACTGGAGACACCACACAAGGTGTACAGAAGACCTGTACTTCTGGACCAGCAGCTGGAGGAGAAAGACTACAATCCGGGAAGTAGCAGGAAATGTCATCAAAAGCAAAAAATTCTGCAAGGACTCAATTCTTAAATGCAACAATTCCAAGGTAAAAACATATTGCCAGATAGGAAGTTCAGAATTTTACTCCTCAAATGCTCTTTCAATGCAATGTTTTCCTACTTGAACAAAGACAAATGAAAAATGTATTCATTACGCATACTGAGAACATCATACTTTGCCTCTCTTGCTTATGATAATGTTTCCAGTATAAAAAAATCTTCCTCCATGTAAACAAAGCTGTAACTCTTAACACCCATCTAGTAATTTTTAGTGCAAAGAGCTCTGAAAATACAGTTAATTAAACCTTACAGTTTCCACAAAATACAAATGGGATAAGGGGCAAAAAGATAACATTTAGGAAGCAAGCTACAGCTTTACATAACATCTGTTTGTTGGGAAGATACACAAATGCACCGGCTGTGAACCCACAGCAGTAACTGCAGAAATGTGCTGGAGCAGTATGGGGGAAGCAGGCTGTAAGGCTTCACGTAGGACTGGGGATGTATGGGCTGCGGAGGCAAAGAATACACAAAAAATAAGCAACCAAGCAAAGAATAAACCATTACTCCAATTCTTACTGTCGGTCCCTTTGAAGGATGAGCCACCTACTTTAGCCAGTCTGTCGAGGGCAGAGGACCATACTGTCCTGAAGCCATTTGCCATGACGTTCCCTCACTAAATGCATCTTCTTATTGCTCTTTCTTTTTGTGAAAAAGTTCTCATTATTAGCACAATTACAGTGAAGTCCATCCGGCCTGTCTGAACAGCTGCCCAGTTATTAAATAACCATTTAATAAAGAAATTAACGCAGCATATCAGCTGGCTAGCTGGCCAGAGATTAACTACAGTTATAGTTATTTACTAATGTCCCGTCTCCATAATTTAAGAAAGTAATACACTGCAAACACTGAAATAGTTTTGACAGTTTAAATCACTTTTCACAGTAAGGGCTGTGAAGCCATTAGTACTTTCATATCCAGGCTCTTTCAACATTTTAAAATGCTTCAGTAACATTACACTGCCATGCACCATCTGAACTGATTTAATATTGCTGAAGTGTGTCAGGGGCTTTCTTTAATAAGCTCTTCAAATCTGTATATGTATTACAGAATATTCAAGGATAGCTTTTCAAAATCTGCTGAATTGATTTTGAAATACAAAATTCCCTGTTCCTCCTCTATGGAGTCTGAATAAGAGCCGCATAGCAAAAAGGAGGAAAAATAAAGCAACGCACAAATCAAAGTCACAGTGCTTACTAAATACACCTTCTTGGATACCTGAATAAACTAAAAGCATTTTGATTAACATTCCTACTTAAGAAAACAGTAGGAAAGGACAAAGCAAATGAAGGTTGATCACAGAGAGAAAACGAATAAGATTACAGCCCCCAAACTGACAATCTTCCAGGATATAAGCGCTGTTTGGACAGGTCCATAGACAGTGAGATGTCTCTCCCCCAGACATGGTCACGGTGGGACACCACAGGCAGTGACCGCTGGGCCCTGGCACAAATCAATGCATTCACTGTGCTGCGAGGGAACCACCTCACCCTACTGTCGACGGAGTCGCTCTTAACTTACGCTTGAAATCCCCCCAGCAAACAGGGAGAAAAGCGCTGCAGAGAACAGATGTCCCTGGCAACCCTTATCTCCTTCCCTTCCCCTGCACACAACCCAATTTAATAATATTTAGCTTTACAGCACAGTAGGGATGCATCGGTCTTTACAGCTCAATGGCACTTACTTAAAGCATCTCTCAAGTCACAGCTGGATTGACAATTTATTTTTCTAGAATTTGGATTTATATTTACCTAAAGGTTAACTGCATAACTTTACAAGAAGCACTAACATGAACCACTTAACAAAAGGAAAATACAATTTATAATACGTCTATTTATAAAAAACAAAACAAAACAAAGAAAAAATTAAAAAGAAATACAAACTACCACCAGGGTCAAGAGTTAAGCAAGTTTTAATGTCTTAGAAGACTGTTGTGGGTACAAGGCATCAAGAATGTCATCTCCTGTTGTCAGCTACTTTCAACAGGATAGCTGAAATAGTAGCATCTGAATGGCACTGAATATTTTAAAATAACAACATATGACTGCTATCTTATTCAAAACTCTCCAGAAAAGCTATATCCCCTCGAGGCTATCGCACTGAGTAATATTTTAAAAAATAAATGCATGTCTATTTTTGGACAGGTTCACATATTGATTTACTTTAAAACCTAATCAGGTCATACTCTCATAGGCTCATAGATCCTTGAATAAAGTAATAGGTATCTTTGTAAAGGAGCACATAAACATCTGTCAGATGCAAGCTATAGTTCAAACTGAATTTGCTACAGGGACAATTCCTCCAAAAGTATAGGTCTTTATGTAAGCTACATTAGTAAACTTTCAAATACTGTCCATATTTCAGCCATTTATTACCCAGATGAGAATGGCAGTCAATCTGCTCTTCACCGCAACAGCTTTTATTGTCTCCTCCAATCTAGGTCACCATTGTTAAATACTACAGTCTTCCAACTGTGGGAAGTACTGCAGCATGTGTTTTACCAATGAGATGCTATTTTCTTTGATCAGTTCTGTCACATTTCTCTCCCTGCTCTCAAGACAAAATTTTGTTAGCTGCATTTAAAAAAAAAAAAAAAAAAAATCCATCATCTTACATGTATCCACTCTAACAATCTTCTTGTGTGCCTTGTTACTGTTCCCGCTATTACAATGTTATGTGCATGCCTCAGCTTTTCCTAAAGAGGATTCAGAGCTCTTCGTTTTAACAAAATACTGACATTTTCTGTTCCCTTATTAAGTAGCTACAGCAGGAACATAATCAGCGCATTCTGGAATTAACTGGCTTTTAATTCCAAGAGAAGTCTTAAGCCTGCATTCTGTATTACTCCTACGCTGGCATAAAACCTAAAGCCTCAGTGAAGAAATATTTTTGTAAATTCACTTTGCAGTTAGGATTAACACAGGTTGGACCTTTTATGCACAGGGAAATTAGTCACATGCTCCACCCGCCTCCCCCACGCATTTGTAAAACAACAGTTTCTGTCAAATCATTTGTCTTTTCAACCACGCTTGAGCGAGCTTATGAAGGGGTTATTAGGCGACTTCTCCTGGCCCAAGTTATGAAGGAGGTCAGACAAGACGATCATAATACTTCCCCTCTGACATTAAAATACATAAATTTATTTTATTTTCTTCAGGGCTTCAAAACTTAAGAAGTTTCCTCCCCTGAAACCAGTTTCCATCTGCTTATGTAAAGGAAAAGCAGTCTTAGAAAGGATTTGTAACTAAGCCCTGGCATTCCCTAGGTATTTAAATTTTCCATAGCCCCAAAGTGGGATTTGACAAGAGGACGGTACCTCCCAAACCTTGGTTTGACAAAACAAAAACCATGCTACCATCCTTAGCTCTTGCTTTTATGCCTCTCAAGTCTTGCAATTCATTTCCAAAGCACCCAATATAATACTCTGTAAGGGAACATTGACACCCATGATTTTGCAAGTGTTAAACATTTTAAAAGGGCAAAACATAAGTGACAAAATTATTTTTAAAGTGCTGTGATCCTGGAAAACTGAAAACAGTTCAAACGCGAAGGAGGGCTATCCAGGGAGAAAAATGTTACTCATTAACTTCTCATCTGACCACAAAGCCTAACACAGAACGTCAGTGGGATCGCACACAGATGGTGGAAAAACCCACCCTTGCCACCAGTGCCCTTTATACCCTCCAGAGAGAGGAGGCCATGAAATCTTTTGGAGCTGCTCACACTATTTTGTACTCTTCAGCTCATTTCCCTAATGGTCAGGTCTTGCGAACATCCTGCGGGAAGCTACTTGATATCAGAGTATGAATCTTTTACAGAAGGCACTACACTAACTCCAAACCAAAACCCAAGGGACTGGTCCAAAACCCACTGATGTATTTCAGTTAATAAGGCCTGTAAGTGAGAACCAGAAGTGAGGAAGATGAGGTAAAAGAGGGAGCTTAAGATACTGACACAGAGGAGGAAAATAAAAGCAAATAGGAGATGTCTGTGTAGGTACTTCATTAAAGCAAATTCTGTAACAACGTGTTTAGCAGCAAAATCTAAGCCAACTCGTGCATTAAAATCCTGGCTAGCCTGCAAAAGAAAACAATCTCTGTTAGACTGTTGCATGTGCCCAGTCCCTGTTCTCTAGCTGTCATTTGCCCACAGAACAGCATAATAAATTGTTTCTAGTGACAAAGTCAAATGACTCTCTGTCATGGCATGGCATGTCAATCACTGCTTTTTCCTGCAATTTCTTTACTGGTATTTCTGTAGCCTGTAAAGGTAAAAGGAAGCTCACTGTTCACGCGCACAAACTGAGATCCTAACCAAAAATCCCTCAGCCAACACGCAGAAAGCCAAGTGCCTGGTTTAGCTCCTTGAATCTCCCCTTGCAAACCTGCAAATGCTCCCCTGAAACCCAGCACCCTACTTCTTCCTCCTACTACCTCCCTAAGTTACACAGCTTGCAAAGACTCGCAACCACCTCCATATTTCATACTTATATTTGTTCGCTCTAAAATGAGTAAGTATACCCCCACCTCTAATTTTCTATATATAAAGATGAAGGGAGGAGATTTTATGTGCTTTATTATGCTGTCTGTACTGTCTGTAGTGAGATACCAGACAAACACTGCTGATTAACCCTTTTTAATTCT